CACCTTGTGAGGGATTTCAGTGAAATACACTGCAAGGTCCCACACGAAGTCCTCTGGCACCACCAAGTGGTCACCCTGACAGCGCCTCTGATAACCCTCCTGTAATTTAACACTAAATTCTTCCCTCTGTCTCCTGCTTCTGGAGCCAGACTTGAGTTTTGTCATCAGTTGTATTTGTCACCACTGGCATTCCACCTTGATATTCCCCTGAATTACAGTGTAATGCTTTTCTACTTTGCATACAAGAAAGCTACCCTGGCTTCTTGATGGCTCTGGGATTTGTCAAATGTTTTTGTATATACACCACACACTATCATGAAGAACAATTCCACCAGCTACTCTTTCCATGAGTGGTTTATTTTTAAACATCTCTTTCCCAAACTCTTGGGACTCCTATCTTTCCTATCTCTGTATCTTTGCCCTTTCTCGGTTGCATAGAAAAATACAGTATGTAGCTCATAGATCTGGATTCTTCAATGTACCCAAAGGTATTTAAGACTAATCAGAGTGGTGTGTGAATTGGTTCCTTGCTGTTTGTCCCTTGTATGAGTGGAGCATGGTCTGTTTATCCACTCATGTGTGAAGGACACATGGCCGTTTCCACTCTGAGATGTTATGCAGAAGCTGTTATAAACACTGTAAATAAATACCTTTTTGTGTGAACGGGGCTTTCCATTCCATCAGGCCATATTTAGTGGAGCATTTCCTGGGCCTGCTGAGTTTATCTTTGCCAGAAATTGGCTCACTGGTTCCGCTGCCTGTCTTGTAAGCACAAGGGCCCAAGTTCAATGCCCGGTATCACAAAAACAAAAATACAGTAACAGAAATTGACAAATTGGAATCTGAGTTGCTGTGCTACTGTGGCTTTCTTACCAACAAAGGAAGAAACTTGTGGTTCCACCTCCACATCAGCAATTGGTATTTTTGGTCCATTTGTTAATTTTAATTATAATTTGAGAGAGACGAGAGAGAGAGAGAGAGAGAGAGAGAGAGAGAGAGAGAGAGCACTTGACCAGACAAGTGATTTGAGAATAACTTGCAGCTCATGTCTTCACTATATCTTTTGCAGTGCATAAGTTTTTAGTTTAATTAAATTTAACTAGTTTTTCTTTTAAGGGAAATTTCTCTAAGTACAGTATCTATAAATCAGCTTCTAAAACTAAGCCTATGCAGCTTTTGTTTTATGCTTTCTCCAGAATGGTTTGTAGTTTTACATTTCCCATCTAGGTCTGTAATCTATTAGGTTTGCATAGGTAGAAGGTATAAATTGGTGTTCATTTTTAGCATATGAATATCCACTTGCCCCAATTCCATTAAGAAATTATAAAAAGTGTCTCTTTCCCCACTAAGATGACTTTAACTTTGCCAAAAATTACGTATCAATAGATGCATGAGTATATTTCCGCATTCTCAATTTTGCTCTATGGATTTGTTTATTTGAACAGCAATATCACAGGGCATTGATTACTGTAGATTTACAGTAAGTCTGAAAGTCGTATAATGTGAGCTTTATAATTGTTTGAAGTATTATTCTTTCTCCAAAAATGGTTTTGGTTATTCATTTTTTTCTCCAAGAATTGTTGTGGTCATTATAATTCCTTTGCCTATCTGAATTTTAGATTCAGAGTGTTGATATCTATAAAATACAGTTGCTAAAATTTGAGGGAGATCATGTTCATAGGGGGAAATGGAAGGATTAACATCTTTAACAACCTTATAATCATGAAAGTCTGTATTTTTCTATTTCTTTAGATCTTTTTTCTCTTTCTCTCATTAGTGTTTTATAGTTTTTAATCATGGAAATCCTGAACATAGTTTGTTATATTTATACCAAGTATTTCGTTTGTTTAGGTGCTATTTAAATGGTATTTTCAAAGTTTAAAATATAAATATTCATTATTCTGTATAGAAATATTTACATTTCATGTAAACTTTTAATGTATGGACACATAGATATTTGCAATCAAATAAGGCCTAGATGCTTTATTTTCTAATAGAAAATTTTAGGGCCGGGGATTTAGCTCAGTGGTTAGGTGGCCTGCCTTGCAAGCGCAAGGACCTGAGATCAATCCCTGGTACCAAAAAAAAACAAAAAAAAAAAACAAAAAAACAATAAAAATTTAGTATTCTAGATGTCTCTTAAAAAGACGTGTTAGCTATGTTCCACAAAATTTGTACTCTGTTTTTTTGTTTTAATTTAGTTCAATATAATTGTATTTTGTCAAAATATTTTTGGTATGCTTTTTGGTCCATGGGTTATTTAGAAATGTGTTCTTTAGGTGTCAGATATTCAGATTTTTCAGTTATATTTTTGTGTTTGTTTTCCAGTTAATTTCATTTTAGTATTAAAACATATATTATATGTCCTTTATTCTCTTACCATTTTAAAGGATACCTGACGATATTTTGGTGAATAGTTGAATTTTTTAAACTGTGCTTTACTATTTTTATAAGTGTCTTCCTTGAATTTAAAAAATAATTGGTTAGTAGTGTTTATAGAAAATAATAACAGAAAAATGTAAAGTTTGGTCTAGCAACATTTTGCCACAAAGTATACAAAAAGTCATACATTATAAATAAATGACAAAATAAAAATGATAATCTTCTGCTCTTCAAAAGACACCATCAAATTCACAGACTGAGAGAAAAGATTTGCATAGTAAATATGGGGCAGAGGGCTTTTCCTGAATATTAAGGAAATTGCAATTCAATCATACTAAACAAAAATTAATGCAAATGTAGATGAAAATTTTAATGGGCTTCGACAAAGACAGAAGACGGACTAAATGCAGAAAGCAAAAGAAACACCCAATGGCACCAGCTTTCAGGGAACCATGGATGAAATCCACAAAGACCCACTCTCGGACCAGTTGGAATTGTCACAGCTTAAAAGTATGACAAAAATGGCAATGTGAACTTTTGTGCCCACCAGGAAAATCCTTCAGAAAGAAATTTATCAAATCTGCAAATGATAAAAACATACCCATGTCCTATGATCTTATTATTCTATTAGAATGAAGACATTTGAAACAATTTTTTAAAATAAATGTGTTCATGTCACATTTTATTTGTAATAGCCCAAACTGGAAATAACCTAAATGTCCATCAGCAGAGAGATAACTAAAGAAACCATGCTACACTCATGCCAAAGAATACCAAGTTACCATAAAAAGGAACAGACAAGGAATGTCATTTGAAATTTAAATTAATTACCTAAAATAAAAGAAGCCACACAAAACCTAAGAGAGAGTACATACTATTACATTCTATTTATAAGAAATTCTAAAAAATAAAAACTATTCTACTATAAATAATTCAGATGGGTGGTTGCCTACAGACAGAGATGGATGGAGGACTGGACTCCAAGGAACAGGCAGAAATCTTTTAGGTTAATGGAAATATTTTTCATAAAGTCTGTCAAGATAACACTTTAAATATGTGTAGTTTATTTGAAAGCAATTATATTAGTATAAGATAAAGACATTTTCAGCTAAACAAAAGCTAATATGTGGGCTATATGAGGACTACACAAGTAATAAATCATAAAACTAATTCATCCAGGTGAAAAAATTCAAACTGATACCAGAAGAGGTAGAGTAGTCAAGAAAGAATGAAGAATTCCAGAAAAAGCAAATATAAACGAATGTTAATTGTTTAAAGCAACAATGATAATATTAGTGTGAACCTTACAAGGCGTGTGGAAGTGAAACTTAATTACAATGATCCCTTCTGAAAAAGAGAAGGAGTTAAGATGTGTTACGTACGTGCACCAACTTTCCACAAGGAATGTGAACACTGTGTACTACACACAAGTACTTATAAACTAAAATTAAACATAAATAAATAGAAAGGAAAACTTTATGTTACAATTTAGTATAAAAATAGTGTTAACAGTTGTGATCTTTTGTATTTCATAGAAATACTGAAAGGACAAATTTAAATATTAATTACTCGAGAATGCATATTATATTTTCTGAATAACTTCTAGAAGAATGATAAAAGAATATGATTGAAATATAATTGAAGAAAATATAATTTATAAAATAATTTATTTTAAATAAATTTAAAAAGTTGAACTAAGAAAAATTAAACAAGATAGAACCATTAGTAAGAGTGAAAATTTAAAACACAATTAGTAATAATAGTAAATATAAAAACTAAACGATTCAATTAAAAGGCAAAGATTAAAGATATGATTTTAAAAATGATCCAATATGATACAGTTCATAGAAAACACATTTTAAATAAAAGGACACAGACAGGTTAAAAATGAATGGATATAAACTAGCAACCATGAAAACATTTTCTGATAGAAAAAAAAAAAAAAACCCAGGCTGGGGATTTAGCTCACCTGTGCCTGCCTTGCAAGTGCAAGGTCCTGAGTTCAATCCCCAGTACCAAAAAAGAAAACAACAACAACAACAACAACAACAACAACAACAACAAAACAAAAACAAAAAAATATCTCAAGGAAGAAAATGTGGAGGTGAATGTCTGGGACACAGTTCCATTTTTCCGACAGGCATGTGTAGAATGCAGTGCCCCACAGATGCAGCATATATTTTGTTCACATGGTCAGGGAACATTTTGACCAACATTGACTGGGTCATGAAACATACCCAGTAAGTAAGTGAATATAGTCACAATGCAACAGCACGAAGGGACTGGCTTCCCTGCACCACACACTTCTGTTTTGTTGAGGAGTCAAAGAAGGCACATAGTGTGGACTGGAAACATGTCAAGTTGAAAGATAATGAAAACTTGGCCCATCCAAGCTTGCAGGATTGAACCTAAAACAATTATGGCTTTCATTGTATATATTTAATAAAACAAGAAATCTCCCCCAGAAACTAGAAAATCAACAGCAAATTAAAACCAAAGATGGGAAATTATAAATTGAGATGGGAGAAATTAAGAATTTTCTGAATGAGCACATAGCAATTTGATTTTCTGTTGCCTGAATTTTTCTAACTGAAGAGCAACCAAAACTACATACTCACCACCCTCCTACACACTCCAGGCTCCAGGCACTGTATTAAACTCTGCAAGGAATAGAAAGCACACAGTCTCAGTGAGAATTTCAAACTAACTCATCACGAATTCAATAAAAGCACAAAAAAAGAACAATAGCATTGTTTTCCAGAGGCCCAGCAATAAAATGGTAATTCCTGCTAGGCCATGTCTGACATTCAGAGGGAGCTGAGCAGAGCATAGAAGGCAGGCTGTGGAGGATCGGTCCTGCCTGCCTCCGTCCCTGGGAGCTGGGCCCTGGGTCACAGGAAACCCGCAGGCCCACGTGCGGCCTGCCAAGCTTCCAGCTGTGCACATGGCCAGAGCTCCACCTAAGCAGCTTCCTTTTCCTTTCCAAAAGCAAGAACATTTCCATTGATCTTTCTACTCCCACCCTATAACATCAGGATGGAAATGAGAAAGTTATCTTTGCTAATCTGAGTAGGGTCTAGGTTTCAGAAAGCTGTGGCCCTGTACCACCCAGCTACTCAGCAGTAGGTTAAGACTGGGGGCACCTCAGTCCTGTCCTCTTGCTGTGATCTCCAGGCAGTTACACACTGCTGGTGCAGAAGGCCAGAGGGACCAGAGAGGCTGGGAGCTCAGGAAGAGGAAGGGAACAGGGATGGCTGTGGGCTGGCACCCAGGACAGGAGGTGGACAGTTTTCACATCTGCCATCCTAAGACATGTCAAAAACTTACGTTTTTCATTTTAAACAAAAATTACTAATTAGTTCAAACTCAGTTTTTAGTTGTCACAGTTTACATTGCCAGCTGCACTATTAAGTGCATTAACTGTTTGGCCCACGAAAGAGCTTTGTCACCCCAAGGGAGGCCTGGGTGAGAAACCCAAACTCAGCCCAGACCCCTCACCCACCAAAATTGTAATAATGGAAGGAAGGTTAGGGGAGATTGGGCAGCCATGGAGCCAGTGGGTAGAGCCAAGACCCCGGGGCTTACTGTGTGTGAAACTGACCTTGTGATTTTCACTCGGTCAGCAGAGGGACATTCATCTCACCCGGATGCAGCAGTAAATTCTCCAACGCTCCTGACTTGTGACCAGTCACAGATTGCTCAGCACCCCAGGGTGGACTGCAGATAGTAATAAATAACGGAGCCCATCACTATTGTGAAATGCAAATCCTAGCTTTAAAAATGTGTTTCGACACAAAGTCATGGGAATGGAAGTACAGGCACCAAAACAGAGTTACATAATAGGGATAATAAATTACAGATGTCTAGCAGCAGATGTGGGGGAGAAAGCCGTCTAAGCAGTGGCACTCCACAGTTTGTTTAGGGTTTATAAGCAGCATAACTCTACTACCCCACAAATCACTGCTTGGATGTTCTGACAAGAGTTTAGATAAGCAGGAAGAATTAACTGTTGTTGTTCTTTTTTTTTTTTCACAACTGGTGGGGCAGACAAAAGAAAAACGCTGTAAGTTATTTGAAGCTAAGGCTGTGGGAATTAGAGTCAGGCGGAGTCCTCACAACTGCCAGTGTCTGTGATTTAGGGAAATAACTCCACAAGGGCAACCTGAGGCCAGGTGCTGAGGATGCTTACTGACACCCTCTATCTCTTCTGTAGTGCGTGAACTTGCCAGGAGAAGCAGTGGGGTACCTTAGTCTTGGGTTATAGAAAACTTTATGGCTATACTAAGATTTCCTAATCCTTGTCCTGACATTTCTTGTGCCGGTCACCTTGCCGAGGCTCAGAGACTCTCAAAGGTGCTCACCTCATTAAGGGCTAATCTACAGATGAGTTCAGAGCTGAATGGGCCATGGAGAAGGGGCCAGTTAAAAAAGTGGACAGTAAGGGTGAGGCCTCAGGGATGTACCTGGTCCCTGGTCCCTTGCTCTCTCTTTCTTCCCCTGCTCCTCAGATGCCAGCAATTGAGCAGTTTTTGTTCACTGTGCCCTTCTTCCATGACATTCCTTTTATAGCCAGCCAACCAAGCACTGAAGCCATGAGCCAAACAAACATTTCCTCTTTTAAATTGTGTATGTCAGATATAGCAGAAACAGAGAACAGACCAATACCTTCCCCTTTCAAAATCTATGTTTGCTCATTTCTGAAATGAAATAATAACAGTGCCTAACTCAGGAACACCATGAGTTTATGGGGATGGGCATTAAAACAATCCGGGCATGGTGCCTTCTAGTTTGAAGTCTTTTTCCAGTCAGCTTCTCTACATGTTACAACTTCACGTATGACCAGCTCTCTTCTTCACTTACTCCTCTGGCTGAAATACATATTTCTATGTGAAATGAGTCAGGAGAAACCCCTGGGTCCCCACTGTGGAAGTCCCCTCTTCCACAGCACCAAAAAGCTGTCTTGCAGCTCTGACAGGAGGGGCCACTGCTCTCTAAAGAGTTTGTTCCAGGAATCTACTCTTATCCTGCAGACCCGAGACTCTCCTTCCTTCACAGAGAAAGGGACCCCACTGTGAGGATCCCTGACCACAACAGAACCTCTAGCCCCATAGTCCAAGAACAAAAGGGCTAACAAAGAACTAAGAAAAACATAAGTTGAATAAAGCAATAGGATACACTGGTATTAGAATCAAGATTAATCAGGCATGGGGTTACTCAAGAAGGATTTTAAAGTAGCTCTCATTTTAAAAACTGCATCAGTAATAAATTATATATTTTCTCAAAATAAATTTTTAAAAACCTCAGCATAAACATATACTTTATAAATCATAATCCAATGAATTTTAAAGGAAGAGCTGGAATACAATGATAGAAATAAATAAACCTTGCCAGATGGGCTCAATAGCAGAGGACACAGGATGGAACTCACTTAGTCTGAAATACAGATAGGAAAAAGACAGAAAAGTGTAGAAATTTAGGGCCTATATTTAGGGCAATAACCAGAGATCCAACACTCATCCAACAGGAGAAGAAACAAACAGCAAGACTCCAACCAAAAGAGCTCAGAGAATGGTGGTTTTAGAGACTGCACCAGAGAACTGCAGGTTTGAGGGACTGAGCAGATCCCAAAGACATGCAACAGAAGAGGCACATGCCAGAACATGTTAGAGTTCAATGCTTGCAAAGACACAATTGTTTTACAGAGGGACTAGAAAGGCACCTAAAAGTGAGGCTTTTGCATTTTACTCCAAGTGCTAAAACATCGGCGCTGGCAGGTTGTGATGAGGCATCTAGTGCTCACACAAAGCAGCCACTGTCAGAACTATGCACAGAGATACCCTCAAAAAGGCTATCCAGAAATCGACAGATCCCCAAAATAATGTCCAAGTACACAAAGGAGGAAGAAAACAATAAGAGAAATAACAGGAAAGGAACAGAAACCAAACAGTAAAATGGGAGAAGTAAGTCCTAAAATCACAGTGATTACACTAAATGTGTAAAGGGCATAAAAACTAATCAAAAGGCACCAACTATCAGAGTATGTAAAGAAAACACCATTTTAACTGCACACACTTTACAATAAACTCAATTCAAATTCAATGATAATGCAAGTTTGAAAGTAGGAGAAACAAACATAAAATGTGTGACAATTAACTTAACAAAGAAATGGCTGTATTAATCTGATAAAGTGACCTCAAACGAATAAAACCATTGGACACAGAGGGTCATTACACGTATCATAAAAAGATCAACCCACTATGCGATCATAATAACCCTAAATGTAGGTAGGCACTGAACAGTGAGCCTCAAAATGCAGGAATCAACAGCTTGGAGCACAGTGGGATGGATGTCTGAGATTATAGCTGTGGGCTCCAGCATCTGCTCTGGAAAACTGATGGGAGCAAGAGACAGAGACACAGCTGCACAGCCATGTCTAAGCTGCAGTCAGCTAACTGATATCAATAGTGCAATCCACGCAGCGACCGGAGATGCACACTTACCATGAACACTGGGCTGACAAGCGTCACACAAACACACGTTGCAAGGCAAGCCTCAATAGAGTGGAAAGCTGAGTAGTGCAGAGTTTGGTGTGGAATGTAATGGACCAAACTGACAATCAGGCCATGGTTGGCAATGGGAAAATTTCTGACTGCAAGAAAATTAAATGGATTTTTAAATACACCATGGGTCAAAAATGAGTCTCAAAAATGACCAAAAGAAAAGAAAAAATACATAGAGCTGAGTGGAATAAAAATAAAACACTTTGTAATGTGTGGAACATGCTAAAGGGGTGCAGGGAAGGAGGGACTAGAAACTAGGTGGGATTTGAGTGCAATCTATATGCTAAGAAGAGTAAAATTCTGAACTCAATAATCTAAGTTGCTACCTCGGGAAATTAAAAAAAGAAAATAAACCAACAATAGGTTAATGGAAGAAAATGTAAAGGAGCAGAAAGTGTGAATCTGAAGACAGAAATTCTACAGAAAAAAAAATAATAAAACCTAAAGCTTGTTCTTGAGAGCATCAGTAAAATTAATAAATTCTAGCAAGAGTGACAAATACGAGGAGAGAAGACAGAGACAGAAATACCAGGAATAAAATTAAGAATGTCTCACAAATATAGTGGTTAAACGAAAATAAAATAATCAATTTAGGCTCCAAATTCAACAGCTTTCAAGAAATAAACCAATTCCTTGAGGAGCCACAAGCTATAAAATCTCAACCCAGGTGATTCGGGTCACTGCAACAGTCCCACGCTACTGAAGACTTTCAAGTGTAATGCAAACCTGCCCATGCGCAGTCTCCAGTCTGTGATTTCACTGGGGGACTCTACAAAACAGTTCAAGAGAGATTAACAGCAATAAACAGAGATAAACAGAAGGAAGTGACACTTGGCAATTTGCTTCATCAGCTCAAATGACACTGAACCAAAACACAAGAGTACAACAAAGGAAGCTGGAGCGTGGGCCTTGGCGAGAGGACAGGAAACTCCCTCTGGGATGGTTCAATCCTGCTCACCACTTCCCACTCCATGCATCTGGCTCCATGTGTTTTAGTTCTGCTTCGCTTTCTATCCCAGGAGACACTAGTATGTTGTTATTATCATCATTTGCACCACTATGGCTGCTTACATTTTTCCCATACAGCTATCACTCTTCACTTGGTGCACTTTTTCATTTCAGAACATCACTCTGGGGTTATTTTCCCTTACTGGAGTTTGTCATTCAGCTCTTTCTTTAATAATGTTTCACTCTCAGTTGACTCGATGCTTGTTTATTTGAAAAGTTCTTTTGCTGCTCTTGTTCTTGCAGCTGATGTCGCCGAGCTACTCTTGTTTCTGGCTCATAATTCTCTTTGAAAATGTTTTCTTTTGCCTTCTAATTTTCGTTGTTTCTTTTCACAGATCTTCTGATGGTCCCCTTTTCATTTCATCAAAGGCTTCCTTTACTCTCCACCTACATTTGAAATTGTTATATTGAATTGCTGAGCTGGTTTTCTTTAGACTGTGTCTAGGGATGGATTTTGTTATCTTTGTACTTGGCATTAACTCTCTCCAAGTATGTCTTTTACTTCATCCCCTTTATTCTTTCCTGTTGGGGTCAGCTTAACCATATGTTAGAGTTCTGCAGTCTGTTTTTCACATACCTTAACCTCTCTCATATTTACTACTCCATATTTTCAGCTACTTCTAATTTTTTCAGAACAATCTTCTGTTTCATTAAACTTTCATCATTAGTTTTAACCAACCATCAAGCATTTTATTTTAGAGACTATGGTTTTATTTATAGAGTTCCATAATTTTCATTGTGACAGCCAACTTGACAGCCTTCCTCTCCTTGGTCTCACTCTTGCTTTTGCTTTCTGTGACTCCCACGGTGGCATTTTCTCGATGATTTGGGTAATTTTTCATTGTGAGCTCATAGGTGGCTCAACTCATGTCACTGATATGCTAAATGGGCTGATGGAATGCCGTGCTTGGGAGCAGAGCACCCATGCTTCTGCTAGGAGCTGGGGAGCACTCTTGGGGCTCAAGTGCCTGTGAGGACCCCTCAGTTTCCCCTCAGACTGAGGAGATGGTGTCTGCATCACACCCAGGCAGCAGGTTAGTGTGTGTAGACAGCAGCTGGCTACTGATCTTTAGGGGCGCTTTACCATATACATGTTCTGGGTATTGATGTTTAGATTCCAAGAACACAGTGCTATGACTATGAGAACATAAAAAAAACTTAATG